TTCTAGACCTGAGGTACAGGCAGAGGGCCATCAGTGGAGGCGATGAGGCCCAGGACGCCTTGGGCAGTGAGTCCAGTGAGCTCAGTGACACCTCCGTGGAGGAGGGCGGTGGCCCGGGGGCCAAGGGCAAAGCCCTCCAGCCGTGAGGACGCTCACTGGCTCTGTCTTCACGGGAAGCAGACAGACACACATGTACCTGTGTGTGCGTGTGACGCTCACCACCCCAGGACAGAAACCAGAGGCCACTCTGCGCCGCCTACAGCTGTACATATTATGTCCACTGGGAGCCATGGTGTTATTTAACGAATGTGTCCTGGAAAATATGATTTTTGTAGCTTTTTTGTAAATTATTTAAAGTGCTGTAAAAAATATTTTTGGAAAATACAGTTGTTCGGTTTTGTAGGGCGTGCCTAACCGCAGCTTTCCATGGCATACAGGCGAGTGTTAGACAAGCGGACACGTGACCATTGCAGCCAGGGTTGACGTGAACCCAACTCTGATAGTTTGGGGCGATTGCTGCTTGAAGGTAGCAGTGGCCACCCACCCACCCCAAGAATCACAAAGGCGCCCACAGAGGTCTCTGCTGGGAAGCTGCCGGACAGCACCTGTGACATAGGGGCCCCTGGTCCCGCGAGGCCAGAGAGAGGCTTCTGGACGCCGCACTTGGAGACATCTCAAAGCACAAAGTTCAGCAAGCACACGGACTGGCCGACCCCTGTTGCACGTGGAAATGCCACGGGAGGCCTCAGCGGCACGCCCGGTCCACACCCAGCCCGTGGTATTTCATGCCCAGCCCTGTGCGACCCCCGCGGGATTCTAGCGGCTCAATAAAGCTGTTTTTCTATGAGAGCCACTGTTTTCCAGTTTTAGTCACAGTTCCAAAGGGTAACAGACAAGGTGTGTGTTTTAAATGTCCTTTTCTTGATCTGGGTGCCAGAACACACAAGGCTCGAGCCACCTGACCAGTCCTGGTGCCCAGACACCTCTAGAGCCCAGGATGAGGCCCAACACCCTCCAGGGACCGGGGCCTCATCGAGGTGTGTTCTCACAACCCAGCAGTCGTGCCTGGCGGCTTTCCGAGGGCCTGCCTCCCCCACCCCCGGCAGGACCAGGGCCGAGCCCTGTGAGGTGCGTGGTCGTGGGCAGGGCGCCGGGCCTCGCGGTGTGTTTGAGCCGAGCCGCGGGGCCTTGCCAGGTAGAGAAGAGCACGGCTTCCTGTGCCTTCTGCTCAGAGGCTGCTGTGGGGACAGCAGGGCAGCAGCATCCCGTGGGCCGGACGCTCAGCGGTCGTGGCGTTGCTGTGCAGCTGTCCGGCAAACTTCTATCAGTGACCCCGGGCTTTACGACTCACCGCTGCAATTTAGCTGTGATGGACTTGGAGCAAGGTTGACCTTGCAGCGGGGTTTAGCTGGTGTTCGAAAATGCAAGTGAATTTCCTGGGGTTTAGCAGCACGGCACCTCTGCACCCCAGCCTGCCCGGCACCTGCACCCCAGCCTGCCGGGCACCTGCACAGGTGCATTTGCCAGTGCCCTTCCAGTTCTTATACTCACTTAGGTGCTTCCGGGAAAAACAGTTCAATTTGTGCAATCCATGCTTTAAATTTTATTTAATTTTTAGAGAGTGCTCTTAACACTTGAAAACAAAAATCAGCCTGTTTTGTACATAAGAACTGGGTTTTTAAAACGCTAATAAATCCAGCACTGCTCATGAATCAGCTCACGCAGCTTGTCTTCCCTGGAGTGGCCTTTGTGGGATGATGCCAAGAGGGTCCACCCGTGCATTTAGCCCTGAGCACCCCTCGCCCCCTTCTGGATCTCCCCTAGACCCGGCACCCTTCGCACGTGCTTCCTTCCTGCTTCCCGGGTTCCTGCCACGCCTGCCACGCCGACCCCCATGCATCGTGGTTCCTGGGCAGCGTGGGCACTGCCGTTCACATGTGCCTTGTGTTCACACTTGCTGGGTATAAGCCTGCTTGTTGTGCTGGCCCATCCCTGGGACCACCGACACGCTCCTGCTTCTGCACCCACACCCGAGGTCAGCTCTGGCACGCACTGGGGCCAGCCCAGAGGTACCCCTGCACCCTGTCTGGAAGGGGGGCTGCAGTGGGGTGAACGAGTGGGGCCTGGCACTGCAGCCATGAACGGCAGAGTCCTGGGAGCTGCTGCACAGGACCCCAGGTGTTCACCCACCTGTGATCCTTAAGAGGTCTGTAATCCTTAATCACTTCCCAGGGAAGGAGGGGTCTGTGTGTCTGGGGCTAGAGGCTCATTCATTTAATGCAAAGAAGGGGAGAGGCCTGATTTTCAGTAGGTCATCCTGGGACTCACTGCGTCTCTCTGGACAGAACGGGCACAGGTGGAATGGAGGTGTGAGGGGAGGGAGAGCCCTGGCGCTAGTGTGTGATGCCCACCACCCACATCTAGAGAGGGAGGGTCTTCCACAGACAAGGCTCCGAGTCTGAATTGTCAGCAGGTTTTCCCAAGCTGAGACGCACTTGCGTGGGGAAACCAGGCCCTACATTTAAGTTGCTAGCCCCTTTCCTGCTCCTTTACAAATATGAAAGCATTGCGACCTTGATTTCCCCATCCCTCAAAATTAACTGAAGGGCCTGCTGAGGGGACCCACCAACCACATCTGCAGATCACAGCCAGGTCTACTCCAGGGGAGGCTGACCGGGAGCGGGGAATGGTTTGTTGTTTGCAGGATCTTCGGGGCTTCTGCTCTGCTGTGCTCTGGACAAAGAGATGTTCCCCCGTGTTGACGAATTTCCTATCTGAAACTTTATTCTAAGTCGCTATAACTGAGAGGCGAAAAGCTACTGAAGACCAGTCTATAGGCGTACGTGAAAACACGTGTCCAGTGTTGGAAGTCTCTGCTTTCCACCCCACCCACAGCCACGCTGAGTGACGAATTAGTGAGGTCTTCTGAAGCCCTATTTCTCGGTGTTTCCTCTCATGGTGGGAAAAATCGGCCTCACACAGCCAGGCCTCCTCAGGGGAGGACAGGCTCTCCTGTCATCGCCGTCTGGGGATGCTGTGCTCGCCTCTTTGTTAACGGTTCTGACCGCAGCGAGGCCTTGGAGAGACATCAGGACCCAGGTCAGAGAGTGGCAGGGTCCTTCCCCCCCCTCGGTGCCCCGGGGGAGCAGGCTGACTGCAAGCCCAGGGCAGGGTCTTGCAGCCCTCCATAAGACCGCCCATCTGCATACTCTTCTCCCTGCTCCATGCTAAAGATTCCAGCAGGAAAACATGCCAAAAAGATCCATTCGTCATCACCGGAGTTCCTGTAAGACTTGTTGTGTGCAGAGTCAGGGCCAGGACCGCGGGGTCCGATGCCCGTGGCCACGCCTCCCTGGGTACACCCCAGGTGGGCTCCAACCCAGGGGCTGCAGGGCCCGGACTCACCCCAGGGGATGATGTCAACATCCTCCAAAACCTTTAGCGGGCGGACAGCAGTGCGGCCACCCTGCAGCTCCAGGGCCCCGGCCCCAGGACGCAGATGCCGGGAGCCCGAGCCAGAGACACTCCTGGGCTTTTGGGAAGACGGGCATACATGTTCTATCAAAGTTACTTCTGTTTTCCATCTTCCCAGACGTTTATTCTATGGAGAGGATTCCATTTAGAATACACGTAGAGTCTAGCTTTACCTCGTTAGCAGCGCTGACAGCGCAGCGTATTAGCCAGCGTGCATGAAAGCACCCCGCGCCCGTTAGGATGCACAAGTCCGTCCGGGAGGCCGCCAGGGAGCCCAGTCGAGTCGGCCCCACCACGGCCTTCAGCCGGCAGCAGGAGCCTTGTCCCACCAACGGGGCCTCCCGTGCACGTGGCTTGGACCAGTCCCGAGTGCAGCACTCACCGTTTCCTGCCGGGCGGGGGGGCGGGGGGGCGGACGGTTATTCCGTGCCATGGCTCTGTCCCTCCCTGGAGTCGCTGGCCTGCTGTTCACTACCGCCGAGGAAGGAACTCGTTCTTTTCGGTGAGTTTAGAAATTGGTTAAAAAGGCCCTCTTTTTCTTGTTTTGATTTCCACAGAAGCTAAACACAGAAGTGTCCTCCGTATTTCGGTATTTTTTGTGAAGGGCTGTACAAGCTACTTTCCGGTCTGATGCCTGGAAGAGTCCACTGGTTTCGCAGCTTAGAAAATCACCCCACAGAGCCTGGCCTCAGGCTCCGCGTCGCATCTTTTCATCAAGAGTATTTTATTTTCTCTGGAAACCATTTCCATCCCAAATTGGACATTAAGAATGTTGCCAAAACGTTTACTTACGCGTATTAATAATAAAAAGGTCCTAATGAAGAAAGAACCAGGCACCGTGTTGAATCTCTTCCCACATTCATGGGACTAAAACTTTTGTGAATGAGTTGTCATCCGGGGAAGGGAACAATGACTTCGTCAGGAGCCCGTGCTTCCGGGCTTCCTACGATGAACAAGTCCTGCTCTCAGGAAGGAAGGAGGGAGAGCTAGGTCTGAAAGACAGATACCGGCCCAGAAGAACTCTCCTCATTGAGGACCCGCTACATCATAGCAAACATAGATCGAGAACTGCAGAGAGAAGAGTGTGGAATTCCCTGCCTGCTGGTTTTTTAACTTTGTACTGAAAACTGAAAGTGAACAGCAAGAGAGAAGTCCCACGTACACATCACCCCCTCCATAGATCTGGCCTCCGGGGCCTGCCCCTCGGTGGCTGTGGGGCATTCGCAGGGACCCCAAGCTGGCCAGCGTGGGTCAGGGTCAGGGACAGGGCACTCCTGCTGGTCTTCCCCACGCGGCTCCTGTCCTCGCCCCACACACGGCACCCGACCCTCCCGCCGTGGCCTCGCAGAGTTGGTGCGGATTTTCGCCAGGGCGCCTTATAACAGAAACCCACTCCATGATTTGTCATATGAAACGGCACCCAGGAGAGACACAGGGTGGGCTACCCAGGCATTCCTGGCATCAGGCCACAACTCAGGGCCCAGGACGCCCACGGTCCTGCTCCCTGATTACCGATGAGTCAGGAATTCAGGATGTGGCAATGTGTTTAATGCAAGGTCAAGCTATTAGCATCTTTTCCATCTTAGACGTGAAACAGAGCGAACAGGGCATTAAGAGCCCCGTCTGCATATTTTTCTAATCTAAAGAGAAAAAACACTTTCAGGAAAAGCAGTGAAGTTGACAACTGGGCAAATGATGAGAGAGTACGGGGAACACTTCATCCCTGAGGGCATCAGGAGGCCCCTCAATCACAGATGGATGGCTTGTTGATGTTGTAACTGGGGTGGAAGTTGAACCGGTCATAGGAGGTGATGTAGTTGTCGGGACCTGTCACAATGCTCTTCTCCATGCAGACGTTGAAAGTATTGTTCCGGAACATTCCACCAGCTGCAAGTTGTCTGGAAAATTTGTTCGAATTTGGATAAAATACTTTCTGGAAGTGAAAAGGGACACTCGGATTAATGGGGCGTGGGAACACCCCTGAGCAGTCAGCCACGAGGCATTTCTAAGAAAAGTAAGAATTTGTAAGAAAATGTCATCTCTGTTCCTAGGAAGCAGAGAGTCGGGGTGGGCAGGATGGCCCAGTTCGCCCCAGACCATCCCAGTTTATACCCAATGTCGGGAATAATTGTTGACAGTGCCTCTGTTCACCCTGGGTGGACAGCAGGATCATCTGCGGGCCACCTGCCCCATGCGACGCCCAGGGTTCTGCTCCTGCCACTACGCCGCTAGACAAGTTACTGGACCTCTCTGAACTTCGGTGTTCTCTTCTGTAAGAGCCATCCATGGGTTTCAACCCTGACCGCAGGTTCGAATCCCTTGTGGAGCTTTAAAACGCCTCTGACGCCCCCACCCTACCAGCCCAGGGGCGTGGGGAGGCGCTGCCCTCGTGGGGGGAGGCCCCCAAATGGGTGGCCCTACTGTCCTGGATACCCAGGGGACGCTTGTGCTGGTCCACCTGGGCCTAGGAGGGGCATCAGGAGGGTTTTAGAAGGGGGTTCTAGACCTCCAGACTGTGAAGTCGATCTCAAAAAGGGGGTGGGGATTCCCCAAAGGTGCACAGATCCCCACATCCACCCATGTGCCTTGTGCAACCTGAGATTTGGGCCAGTACTGCCTCTTAAGGTTGCGAGTTCATTAAAATCAAGTATTATTCCAGAAAGAAAGCAGCTGTTCACTTGTTTGCCTCAGAACTCACTGCCGTAAGGTACCAGAGGTGGTGGTGTCTACCTGTGAAAGGGGCCAGTCTTTTGGGACATCTTAAACCAGTCTACACGCACCTTTTTCATCCTTAAAAACATTTCATTGCTAAAGTTGCTCGCTCACTTATTTCTACCCTGCCCTGTTTAGAAAGGATTTGATGTGTCCCCTCCGGCTTTGTGATGTTGGAACTTTGGGCCCCTCCCTGCCACCTTTTTGAGAAATCCAGGGTGGTAGCCTCCTCCTGGAGATGTTCCATGACACACACACACACACACACACGCTTCCCACGTACCGGCATCTCGTGCACAGTGGGGGCTCTGCTCCCATAAGCTTGGTTACTGGTCCTGTACACCGAGACAGGCTCCTTGGTCCTGGCAGATGAGAAACACCCTCTATTTTCCATTCAGTTATTCTAATGCTGCCCAAGCCACAGCCTTAGAATATTTTGACAGAGCTCTGTTGGGAATGCCACAGGTTGGCAACACGGCTGTGAACGCGGGCTCCGTGGGATTCAGGTTCAGCTTCCCCGCCTCCTCTGCTCACCTCCACCCCTGCTCTTCCTGAAGGCAGGGCAAAGCCCGAAAGAACTCCCAGATGGCAAATGCAGCCCTCAACCCTGGCAGGGTCTTGGCATGTGCTGGGTAGATGGGTAGGTCAGAAGTGGTGGCTCAGCCTCCATACCCTGCCACTCGGGGGGGGGGGTCCCTCCACTCTGAGCCTCGTGAAGAAAACATGCCTACAGTCTCTGATGCTGACACAGAGTTTAACTGAGTGGCTGTGGTTCAGAGGTCAGCGCTGCCCTATGCCACCAGATCTTGGGCAAGACGCTATCCTTCCATACCCCAGCTGTCCCTCCTGGAAAACAAGGACAATAATGAACCCCGTCCCCAGGGCTGCAGAGGAGACTAGGGGAGGGAGGGCAGGGCAGGTGTGGTGAAGGGTTTACTACGATGTATGTCTGAGGGTTTGCAATGAACAGCTCGGGTTGCCAGATTCTCATTCGGCAGAGGCTCCTCTCAGCCTAGAGACAGAAGACTTATCCCCGCACAAAAGCGTGGCGCTGGGCCCAGTAGCGGGCTGTGGGATTTCCTGGCCACCCCTGCTCTTCCTGCAGTGACTGGAGCCCCCGCCCCCCACCCCACGGCCAGTGCTCCTGCAGTTTCAGGCACTTTCTCGCTCACTGGGTGCTAACAGCTGACCCCGCGTTTGACTTGGGCTCCAGGGCAGGCTGGGGACCTGGGGACTCCTGCCTCCGAGCCTAGTGGGCAGGGCCGCCACTCTAGCCCCTGCGCGGGCCAAGTGGCCCCTGACGGAACTCCGTCCTCACCCATAGCCCCGAAACCACGCCGGGTTCTTGAACCTGGCCGGCAGGCCCTCGTCCACGCGGTAGTAGTCGCTGGTCCTCTGCGGGGGCGCGGGGGCCGGGGGCGTGGGGGCCCGGGGCTCCGCAGCCACCGCGCACTCTCGGGGGCTCTCCTCCGACATGCGCCCGTGCTGCGGAGCTGCGGCGGGAGCCCGCGGGAGGCGGCGCGGCGTCCCGTTGCCAGGCGACGGCCGGGTCACCTGACCGGGCGGCCCCGCCTTAAAGGCGTCGCGTCAAGCGGGGGCGGGTCGCGCGCACGGCCTGCCGCCCCCCTCCCCCGGTCCCCAACATGCAGGGGGAACCCCAGGCCTTGGGCTTCAGCCGCGAAAGGCCCACTCCCAGCTCCGCACGGCCGCTTACTGCGTGCCTGGGCGTCCCCGGGCCCGGACGTCTTGCAGACTCCAGGTGCGCCTAATCTTATGGGATGCTCCCTGGCAAAGCGGCAGGTTGTACTGGACTGGCCACAGGTGAGGAGGGCCCCCACGGAGACGGCGGCTCGTGCGGGGTGCAGGGGCGAGCTAGGGGACAGGGCGGGGAGACGCGCTCCCTCACACCCCGCACTCGCCCCGACCCCAGCCTGTCCCTCCTTCCTCGCGTGTCCGTGGCGCCCGGGCCGGCGGCGGGCCGAAGTCGGGTTCGTGCACCCCTGGCCGGCGCGCGCGGACCCGAGGGAGGCCCGCGGTCCCACAGGGCGGGGCTGGTGGCCGAGCCGCAGGGCGCGCAGACGCACCTCCGGGCCGGCAGGCGGCGCGGCGGGGGGGGGGGGGGCGCTGGCGGCGGCGGAAGGAGCGCGGCAGCCAGAGCGCGTCCCTGCCTTGTCCGCCCTCTGCGCCATGGTGCCCGCTGCGACCGTGCCCCGGCTGCTCGGCGCCGGTGAGCGCGCGCGGGTCCCGGGGGCGCGGGCGGGGGGGGCCCGGGGGCGCGGGCGGGGGGGGGGGGCCGGGGGGGGGGCCCTGGGGGGGGGGGGGGGGGGCGGTGGGACCTGCTCCCAGGCCTGCGGGTCACGCAGCGCCCACGGCGCGGGGAGCCGGGCCCGCAGGGACAGCGGCCGGGCGCGCGCGCCACCAGCTGCTCTCTCCGCAGGTGTCTGGCCCAGGCCGCTGCGGCCGCGTCCGCTCCAGAGCGCGACCCCGGGGCGAGCCCGACCGGGCGGCAGGACCCTGGCAGGCGCCGCGACGCCCGCCGTCAGCGGGCCCGAGGACAGCGCCGGTAACGCAGGCTCCTCCGCGGGCTTAGGGGGTTGAGGGGACGGCGCCTGGCCTCCCATTCGGGGTTGAAATCGTCTGCCGCGAGGAGTGCCGAGTGCCCTGGCTTCGTCGGGAAGCCCTGGGGGGGGGGTGCGGGCCCAGGAAAGAATGGGCACCCTGCCTCCCTCTCCTGCCCCACATGCCCTGGGCAGGGGTCCTGCCCTCCCTCTCAGCCACCCTCATCTGGGAATGGGGCTAAGGCCACCGCACTCCTGGGGTGGGTGGGGGGAGGGAGACCTTAACACGTGGCTTGGCTCCTTGGGAGGTGCCCTCTGCCCTGCTGAGTCCTCCCTGGACCCCTGATGGGGGGACCTTCCTCTGGTGGCTGGGAGGTACCAGAAGGACCTCAGAAACCAGCTGGGCCCCTCCTTTTTGGGTGAAGACTGGACCGGGGTTACCCAGGAGCACAGTCAGAACCCGGCTCCAGCCTGTCTCCTGGAGAGGACCCTGTGGCACCTAGGGCTCATCTGCTGGGCTTCACTGCCCCTCCCCGCCCCCATGTTGCTCCCCTCCACGGTTGGGAGCTGGGGGGGGGGCCACAGACCACGGCATCCTCTCCCCCCACCGTCCCAGATATCAGCGACAAGATCCTCAGTGAGCCCCTCAAGCACTCCGACTTCTTCAATGTCAAAGAGTTGTTTTCCGTGAGAAGTCTCTTCGATGCCCGCGTGCACCTGGGCCACAAAGCAGGCTGTCGGCACAGGTAACGGACACCCCGGGCCGGGTGTGGTGGTGCCGGTGGGGCCTGGGACCCTCCAGCCTCAGGAGCCGTGCGGTCCACGGCCCCTTTCACAGTGGCACGTATCGGTGTGAGTGCAGGCCCGTCGTCAGACTCCGCTTTGCTCCCCACACCAGACTTCGTACCTGTGAGGCTGCCGGCCCTATAGCAGGGGCAGACCCGCCACTGGCAGCTCCTGTGAGCCAGGGCGGGGGCGGGGGGCTCCAGGCTTGCAGAGAAGGGTCTCAACGGGACGGCTGCGTTGCAGATGTTTTGGAGGGACAGTTGGGAGGCCAGGGAGGGAGGTGGTTGGAGACATCCAGGGGGACGACGATGGGGCCCAGCTCCCAGGGGCAGAAGAGCTGGAGGTAACCGCCTGCCCCCCCCCGCCCCGCCTCTTGGCTGTCACTGGACAAGGGTCTCCACTGCTGCAGTCATGGTGGTGGGGTTGCAAATTGTGCCAGTTCTGGGGATGGTGTACCCTGGAGGCCATGGGCCTCGCAGCCCCCAGGGCTGTCCACAGAGGGCCTCGGCGGTTGCTGGCCGAGGTTGGCCACATGCATTTTGCCCACTCTTGCCTTGGTGGGGTCTCCGGCAGGTTTATGGAGCCGTACATTTTTGGGAGCCGCCTCGGCCAGGACATCATCGACCTGGAACAGACGGCCGCACACCTGCAGCTGGCGTTGAACTTCACGGCCCACGTGGCCTATCGCAAGGGCATCATCTTGTTTGTGAGCCGCAACCGGCAGTTCTCACACCTGATTGAGACCACGGCCCGGAACTGTGGCGAGTACGCCCACACCCGCTACTTCAAGGGCGGCCTGCTGACCAACGCCCCGCTCCTCTTGGGCCCCATGGTCTGCCTGCCAGACCTCATCATCTTCCTGCACACGCTCAACAACGTCTTCGAGCCCCACGTGGCTGTGAGAGACGCGGCCAAGATGCACATCCCCACGGTGGGCATCGTGGACACCAACTGCAACCCCTGCCTCATCACCTACCCCATCCCTGGCAACGATGACTCGCCCCCGTCCATCCACCTCTTCTGCAGGCTCTTCCAGACCACCATCAACCGGGCCAAGCAGAAGCGGAGGCAGATGGAGGCCCTGTATCGGCTGCAGGGCCCAGAGGGGCTGGGGGCCGGGGTTCAGGGGTCGGCTGCCTCTCCTTCCCTGGGAGCCTAGGCTAGGCTGGACCTGGGTCCCTCCCGGGACGGACCCACTCCCCTCCCGAAGGAGAGTGGCAGCCAAGCCTGCCCCTAAGCTGGGAACCCCTTCCCCTTCTTGGCCATGGTCTTTAGCAGGTTCCCCATTGCGCTAGGCATTGATTGGGTCCCTGCTTTTGGTGACCGTTCTGGCAGCTGCCCGCCCCCCCCCCAGCGCCGGGGCCCCACTTCAGACCCATGGGGCCCAGCAGGCACACAGAGCAGGCAGCCCGTCCAGAGAGGACCCATCGGGAAGCACGCTTGTCCCGGAGACTGAAAAGCCTCACACCTTGAGTTTTGTCCTCTCACTTTTCAGTCCCTGCCAACCTACACCACGGCCGGGCTGCTTCCTCCACGGCACAGTTTCTGGGGCTGCTGTGTCACGTGAGGCCACAAGGCGAGTCCCCCGGAGGATCCCATCTGGGTTGGGACGGGCCAGGCCAAGCGGACAGCATGATTCCCACAGAAATAAAGCTTATGTTTGGACAAATGTGGCTCTGGGGCCTGTGGCTTCCACAGTGTGGCCTATGTGCTTTTGCTCTTGGATATGTGGCATTTGTGAAACCCCCACGGGGCCCACAGAGCCCACAGTACTCTCAAGCTTCATGTGCTCAAGCCACTTGGCACTTGGTGGCACACACGGATTTGTGGGGCCTTCCCTGCAGCACCCGTCCCTCCGAGCTCCAGAGAGGCTGGCTATGAGGAGCCAAGACCCCTTGAAATCCAAACGTGACGTAAAACCATGCTGTGAATGGGAGTCCTGGGACCTGCGTGGGGCCAGAAAGCCATACGAGCCTTGAGAAGCAGGCGGTGGAGGGAGGGGCGTCCCAGGCTGGCCCCCGGGCCACTCAGGTCTGGGCTGGACAGTGAGCAACATGGGGGGAGGCAGAAGACACGTGAAACATGGGATGGGCCCCATCTTGTCCGGGTTCAGGGTCTGGGTACAGGGCAGCAGCCCCCCCCAACACACACCAGCGGGGGCACTGTACTGATGGCCGGCCTGGCCCCGGCCCTCCTCTGTCCCCTGAGGGTCCCCTGGAAGCTGCACACGGGATGCTGGTGGAGACCAGCAGGGGTGACAGCAGTTGTTACTGGTCACAGCTATGCTCCCGGTCCCGGGGGCACTGGGGGCGCAGTGGGCAGGGGATGCCCTGCCGAGTGGACACATAACTGGACAGGGAGACACAAGGGAGCAAGACACCTTCAGGGTGATAGGGACCCAAAGGCAAGGTGCAGGCTTCTGGAACAGACAATGTAGGGCTGCTCCAGGAAGATCAAGGAGGCCCCCGGGCCATTTCTAAACTGACCTATAAGGCTGACCCTGGCAGGAGGGGACCTCCAAGCTTGCCACCCTGGAAATGAACCCCAGGAGAACCCAAAGCAGCCAAAGGAGACGGTGAGTGTCACGAGGCCTGGGAGAGGCAGGGGACAAGCCTCCCGGTGAGCACAGGGGGGCTCACCCCCAGCCCTTACCCCGCCTTCCCTGCTGCAGTACCTGACCTGCCACATAGACCTGACCTCCTCTGGGCCCGAGCAGGGACACGGCCTGACCAGCTGGTGGAGCAAGGGCCTGAGAGAGTCAGGTTCCTGGATTCAGGACCACGGTAAGGATGAGTGCCATGCCACCCATGAGGGCCAGGGAGCTCAGGGGGAGTGTGGGGGCGGCGGCTCTCCAGGCCCGGGCTCGGGGAGGGCCCGGAGGGTCTCCTGCCCCAAAGCCATCCAGGTCACTGACCCCCCGGGCTGCCATGACGGCTGTGCCCCTTACCTGGCCATAATGTCAACCCAAGGAGTCTGGGCTGCTCCCTTCACACACACCAGACACACGCACACACACACACCGCACACACACACACCGCACACATACCACACAGACACACACACACCACACACCGCACACACACACCACATACACACAAACCATGCACACACTCCACACACACACAGGCACAACACACCCGGCCCAGCCCCAGCCTTGGTCAGGTACAAAATCACCCTTCACACACGTGTAAGATGATCCGAACCAATTGTTGATATTCTGTTGCACTTCAGGACATGGACAGGAATATTTTTGCAGTTTCTCTTTTGTGAATTATCCCCCCTTTATCCAAAGATTAGCCCCATTGTGAACAGAAGTCCACCCTGCCACTGGGTGAGAGCCCGAGGCTGCGGGCGGTCCGTGCTGAGAGCCTGAGCAAGCTGGTGGAGCCGGGGCAGGCCCTCTCCCATGGCCCCTCTCCCGGAGCACCTCCCAAGGAACGCCCCCCAGCCCTTCCCACACCTGCTGCTCACAAAAGGTGAGCAGGCTCCCCGTCCCGCCCAGCGGCTCCCCCTCACCTGCGGGCTGTGTGTCTCAGGCGTGGCACGTCCCCTCTCCGAACCTCAGGTGTCTCCTGGGGACCCTGCGTGCCACGAGGCCCGACCCCACACACGGGGTGACTGTCTGGACCGGTCCCCGACCCTGTGGCCGGCCCACAGAGAGGTGGCCTGGGGCTGAGGCGGTTCCTCTCCACCGCGAAGGAGCTCTCTGCCCCAAGCCTCGGTGTCCTGTGTCTGGGCAAAGCCGCATTCCCGACTGTGACGCGGTTTCAGATTCCATCTGGGGCTCCCATCCTGGGGGGAGCCAGAGCAGGGATCCCTGGGGGCTGGCAGAGGGGCCCCAGACGCACTCAGACATCTGAAAGGTGCTGGTTGGGCTTCATTGATTCCACACATGGACAGGAAGCCCCTTCTAGACATTTTGCATTATTCAGGGAACAGGGCAGACAAATCTCCCTGCCCCGCAGGCCTCTGTTCTAGGTGGGGGTCCTCCGGGAACCCTAGACGACAAAGCAGAGATGGGCACAGGACCTTGCGTGGGACGCCCTGCGGGCCTCCTCTAGATGGGGATCCCTCTGCTCTCATCGTCGGAAGGATGACGGGCCTTAGGATGAAGAAGAGCCCCTGTCTCCAAGGTGGGGGACATCTGGGGCTTTGGTGGGGCTGGGGGGCTGGGCAGAGCCCTGGCTGCCCCGCGTCTGTCATGGCTGCTGGAGGGCGGCGCTGTCGGGGCCCCTCCTGCAGGACAGGAGAGAGACAGCCGAGGCTGTGGGCCCGGGGCCTAGGGAGCGGAGGGGAGGCTGGGGGCCCCGCCTGCCCTGACCCGATCCAGGGCCACCCGCGCACATAGGGGCCTCACACTGAGTCCCCCACGTGGGGGCCTGCACGTGGGGCCTGGACAGGCCGGGCAGCCGTCCCCGAGAATAGTGTCGGTGAGGAGAGCCCACGTGCCTGCAGGGGGTCAGGCAGCCGTCGGAGCAGGGGCTGGGGGCCGAGGGGCCGTGAGAGCCCAGGCGGGCTGGGCCGAGGGACACTGCCCGTTCCCTCCTCCCTCACGGACTGCTGCAGCTCCTCTGTGGTGCCCCAGGGCCGGGACAGAGCAGACACTGCACCGCCTCCCCACGCTCCTGGAGTTTCCGGTGCAGCAGGAGGGACCCCAGACAGACAGAGGCGTGGGGCAGGCTCCCCTGAGGAAGGCAGGGGTGCTCACACCCGTGATGGAGGGCTCCCTCCCGTGGGGACTGCCGGCCCCCCGCACCTGCTGGCCACACCTGCCCCTGCCTGGATGGCCAGTGTGGGTGGGCTGGGGGGGGGGGTCCTGGCCTCTGGATGGAGCATCCCCAGGGCTGCCCCAGGGGGCTGTGTGGAAGGGCTGCCCAGGCCACTGACTTTGCTTCCTGCCCGCCTACCTCCAGGGCCATCTCCTCCGTTCTGGGCACCTGGCTGGACCAGACTCAGAGGACTTCTGTCAGCCAAAGACGTTCCCTGCCTCAAGCAGCTGGTGGCCTATGTGCAGCTCAACATGCCCAGTTCTGACCTGGAGCGCCGTGCCCACCTTCTGCTGACCCGGCTGGAGCACGCCGAGCCCACAGAGGCTGAGCGCGAGGGTGAGAAGACCGGGGCTGGGTGCCTGTGTGTGGGGGGGAAGGGTCGGGGCTGGTCCCACAGGGAGGAGCCCCGGAGGCTGGTGTGGGGCCTGGAGCAAAGACTGGGCTCCGAGCGCCCAGTGGGTGGACTGCAGTCGGGGAGACCTCCCGGGGAGGGCTCCTTCCTACCTGGGGCATCTCTGGGAGACTCTGGGCTGTGCACGCACAGGTGTGTGTCTGATCTGGGAGCAGCAGGGGGCTGGCCAGGGGGACATTGGGGACGTTGGGCAGGGCTGTGATGCCTCCGAGCTGAGTGACAGTTCCTGTGTTTGCAGAGCCCCATGGAAGCTGGCCTGGCTTCTGCCCCTGCGCCTGGCTCCTCACCCGAGCTAGAGACACAGGTGGAGCCCGGCTCTAGCTCCTGAGATGGTGGAGCAGCTGAGAGAGGAGGAGAAAAGCTCAGCCCGCGCCTGCTCTCCATGGGCCTTGGCAAGACAGAGCCCAGCCCAGGGCCTCCCAGAGAAGCCGCAGCCAGGAAGGAGCCCTCCCCGGGACGTCTCCCCGACTGCAGTCCACCCGCTGGGTGCTCTGCACACAGTCTTTGCTCCTGGCCCCTCACCAGCCTCTGGGGGCTCCTCCCTGTGGGGCCAGCCCCAACCCGTCCCCACACACCCACAGGCACCCAGCCCCAGGCTTCTCAGCCTCGAGCTCGGCCTCCGTGGGCTCCGGCTCCTGGAGCACAATCCAGTCAATGACCACCAGGGACAGTGGTCTGGGTGGTGTCGGAGGCCTTCCCCCACAATCCCCAGCACCTGCGCCTGGGGACCCCTGTGGGGTCATGCCCCAGGTCCCGGAGATGGAACGGGTGTCCGCCAGCCTCCTCCCGATTTCATCCGTGGCCTGCAAAGACAGGGAAGGGTAGCCGGCCCAGAGGCATCAGAGCCCTGCCCAGCCAACCTCCCTGTCCCCCTGCTGTTCCTGGATCAGACACACACCTGTGCATGCACAGCCCTACACATGGGACACTGACCCATCCCGGCAGCCGATCGGGATAAACCCTGAGGCAGAAGCGCGCAGCCCCCCACACCCCGTCCCACCCAGCCAGACTCTTGACCTTGAACATGACCTGCCCACTGGGTATCTGACCCCTCATCAGCCTGCTCTTGAATGGCGTTGGCCCACCCCACATAACCCCTCTTCACACACACACACACACACACACACACACACATGTACACACACACACACACACACGCACACGGGGAGGGGACCTGGGGCTGCACAGGTGGATTAGACCCTGTGGGGCTGGGTGGTTTGCTCTGGGCCTCCTCGTGTCACCTTTTGGTCTTTCCGGCCAAACGGCCAGAGGCGATGTGGAGCCCTGACACGACATCCCCAGGGAGGGAAAGTGTTTGCAGAGTTCGCTTTCCTCAGCCTGCAGCCCCCACGCTTTGGGATGCAACATGCAAACATGTTCTTCATTCGAGGATCTCCAATGAAATGAGCTGGGCAGGGGGCTGTCTCTGGAATGTGGGTGCCTGTGGCAGCCCTTTGGGCATCATGGGGACCCCTGGCATTCAGCCTG